GAAATTCATGCCGGATGATGCGAGATCATTGATGGCATATCACTATTAATATAAATAAATGTAAACATATAACAATTATGGGTATGTGTGTAAATTTATTTATAAATAATAAATAAATAACTTTGATTCAGATCTGAAAGAAACAGCGTTGAAAGTTCTTGCGGATACGGATGCTCAGTTAATGTCGGTGAGAAAAATTTCTACCCCAATCTCCGTACACACCACGTGTCCCACGTCCTAAAGGCTATCTCAGAGTGCCTTCTGAACTAAACCAAACTCACAGAGATTTGGGCGGATATCTAACTGGGGTGACATAAATTCGAATGTCCAAGGAAATATTTATGATGAATTTACATGCATATCACACACTTCTTGTGTATTTATATATCTATCATTTAAAATTTAATATTCACAGCTTAGGGTCATAGCACAAAAATGTTATATCATTTTTGGAAAATGTAGATATACATAGCACACTATTCTATGTATTTACGTATCTCACTATCACTTTCATATTTGCACACAAAGCATTTTGTTGGTTTAACGTGATGCATGAAAATGTGTATTTATCTTTTAGAAAGTGGTAATAACGTTATTTTCTATGTGATATTAAAAAGATTTGAGTGATATGTGGAAATATGAGTGGGGTGACATAAATTCGAATGTCCAAGGAAATATTTATGATGAATTTACATGCATATCACACACTTCTTGTGTATTTATATATCTATCATTTAAAATTTAATATTCACAGCTTAGGGTCATAGCACAAAAATGTTATATCACTAAAATTTTTGGAAAATGTAGAGATACATAGCACACTATTCTACGTATCTCACAATCACTTTCATATTTGCATACAAAGCATTTTGGTGGTTTAACGTGATGCATGAAAATGTGTATTTATGTTTTAGAAAGTGGTAATAGCATTATTTTTTATGTGATATTAAAGATTTGAGTGATATGTGGAAATATGAGAGTTTATGGGTGAAATATGTAAATACATGAGAAATATGTGCTATGTATGTAAAAGCCTCAAAATTTATTTGCTTTCTCAATCACATTTAGTGCTCTCTCTAGCTCTCTACTCAATATGACTTTCACCTTTTCTCTGCAAAAGATAAATCGAGTCTATATTGATCTTTCTTTTTTCTTTCTCGAGCTTGATTGATCCTAATCTATAGTATTGAGTAAGTGCTACTCCATGAACAGCATTTGATCAATCATCTCTAGAAGTGTGATAAGAGTGGATCATGCCTGAGAGAATGAAAAAAAATATCAAACATCGGTATGATAATGAAAACTTCTTGCATGGCCAACAACCTCCTAAATATATCACCTCCAAAAAATTACAACATAAAAAATCAACTTATAAGGTTGATCCATAGAATCTCTAAGTGCTTTCATCTTTTTTTTTGCTAGTCATTCTCTTTGCATTATATTTAGCTTTTATAAGATCAAAATTAGGTTGTCAAGTGAAGACTCGCTTAGAGAATGCCCTTTTTATTATGCTATGAATTAACAACTATCAAAAATATTAATAAAATTATCCAAGCTCGCGACTAATCCTGTTTCAGTGCGCTAATTATACAAATCCAAATGATCAAATGATTCTTGGTGGCATCTTGAGCAATAGGCAAAGCTAATAAGTTTCAATGGAAGGTGGGAGCATAATCAAACTATTGTGTCTTTAAAAATAGTATAAAGCAAATCGCATTCCACCATATGCCTGATGGTGAGAAGATAATCTAGCTCAAAATGAATAATATGGGCAGTGTAATCTAACTCCTTTTAATGAAATCCAACAACATAATTTTGACCTTTGGCAATGTCTAAGCCAGCATGATTAGAATGGAGAAAATATTTGTCAGACGAACATCATGCTTTACTGGTTAATAAGGAAGATAAGTATTGATAGTAATCTCCAAATGGTTGATGCATCATTTTGATATGGAAACATGGAAGTAATTATTAAAGCCAAGCAACATCAACATCTAATGGATGTAACTAAAATTTTGACCCTGAGAGGATGGGGAAGAAAAGCAAGTTGAGGAAATTGTTGAAGAACTCTATGGACCATTTTTCTAAAAATATCATCTATGTTAATTGTTTAAATGCGATGTGATTATTAGATCATACTTTGTATGGAGACCTCTCAAAATCGTAGAAGAATTCATATTATAATTCCCAGTCATTTGTGTTTCTAAGCACATTAGCCCAAAGAGAGTGCTAAACAACAATTTGTTGGTGAAAAATCACCAAGACCTTATGAGAGAATTGAAACATGCCTTGAGATGCAAAGAGGAGAAATAATCAAGATTTTATAGATTCACTTAATGAATTATTGCACAGATAACCTAGTCAAACTCCTTCAAACATAAAATGCTGGTCAAACCAAATTAGAGCAGCACTAGTTAAAATAATGGAGATATTTCATTTGTTATTGTGAACTCATAATCATGGATTCTATTTAAAAGCAAAGGTCAATGTTGCTGTCGTAAAATTATCTACTTCAACAATAATAACTTAAAAAGAGTGAATTAAGCATGTTGAGGATGAGTAGTGTTAGTAGTTTTACAGATGAAAACTTGGGATGGGTTCTTCGGGTGAGATTTGATCGACCGGTAAGAGGGTACCTTTTTAATGTCATGGTCAAATTCAATAGGCTAATATTAAGCCTTGCTCAAGCAACTTGTTGGAAATCAATTGACATGCCGATTTAAAAAATTTAGGCAACCGATGAACGTACATATTTTAAGCCGATTTAACATCTAGTAACTTCTTAGAACCCACAATTAGGAACAAACCAGGACTTAACTAAACCGAAGGAGCATTTATTAGTGTATACAAGAAGAGAGTTCATATGAATATAAATTTCTAAAACCACTAATTCAATTATTTAAAAGAAGATTTAACCTTGTTTATTTATATTTAAATAATTTCATTTTAAAGTTCAATAAAATTTTGTGTTAGAGCGCTCAAATGTACAACATATTGATTAGAGAAGAAATGAAAAATTTTAAGCTGTCAGATTCAAGCGCTCAACCAATCTAAAAAGAAAAAATTCACTACATAAAACAAGATAATTGTCCCAAATCGAAGCCCATGAAGAACTGCAGGTTCATGCGAGCGCCAAGCCAGCGTCCAATTGTAACTTAATGGCTAAACAAAAACAATCAATTTAATCAATCAACCTTGAAATCAAAGGCTCAAATACCGAACCTTGAATCATTCAAAAAATAAGCCATATTCAGCACCCTACTTTCATTATACTGACCATAATTTTGCACACTGGCTAGAGCAAATAGACTTCCATTATAAAGACCATAATTTTGACCATCTATATCCGCCATCCAATAAGTAGTACTAAGATTTTATCTAAAGCCAAAAGTAAATAAGTTGGGTGAGACAAAATATCATAAACTTCCTATCATATTTAGAGGCCTCTAACCAAGCAAGAAAGTTTTAATGGGGAATAAATCGATCAGAGATGCATTTATTAGTTTTCCGGGCAAGCTTGCCTTCCTTTTTTTTTTTAATTATTACAATAAATTTTGTAATTTTTAACTTTGTTGCTGAAGTTCTTGCATTAATAAAAAGATTGTTTGCATTTAATTTGGAAATGAAGTATGGTTCAAAAAAAAAAAAAAGCAAAGGATATCAGAACTATAGATAAGACAAATGGTTAGACCTCATGCATTAGTAAATTAAGGGTCCGTTTGGGGTAGCTTATTTAGTGCGGTGGCATTTTGAAAACGCACCTGACCTGTTTGGGTAAACTGTTTTTTGGCAGCTTATGCGTTTTGAAAACGTTGAAAACAGTATTTTCACACCGCACCTATCTAGATGCGTTGATAATTTTTTGTTAGCGGTCTGCCTTTTCCAAAAAAATAAAATTTTATAATAGTCACTGCACCTAACTTATCAGCAAATTATTTTTAATCAGTTTATCAACAGATTATTCAATAAGTTGCAACTGCCTTAAACAAATCCTAAGTTCCTAATAGAAGTGTTTGTAAAACAATGAAGTTGGTGAGGTGTGAAAATCCGTCTTCAAATGCGCATACCTATTATAGATACAACGGTTTAAAAGATGTTTTGCATTTAACGATGTAAAAAAGTGGACCCATTCTCTGAACAAAATTTTACCTAGTTTATGCCAATAAATACAAATACCAAAAGCGAGCAATGGAACGAATGCACCTACGAATATCATCTGAGAATTAAATTGTTCAATTTCATGGCTTCAGGAAATATGCAGCTTATTTTTTTCCATCCTGTGCTGATTAAAATATTTTAGATTTGTTTGAGTTGACAATGTAAGAAATGCATTAGCAAGACCGGCGATGGCTGCAAGTCAGGTAAGCAAGCGGGTCGCAGCTGGCAACAGAGTGCAAAGGATGGGCAATGAGCAACAGTAGGCGGCAGCACGCGGCAAAGTCAGGTAAGCAAGCGGGTGGCAGCTGGGAACAGACTGCAAAGGATGGGCAATGAGCAACAGCAATTGACAACAATGATAGAATACACTTTACACAAAGTTGTGTATTTAGATTTCGCTGAAGTTAATATTTAGAATTTTTCCAAATCCAACAAATTCCAGATACATTAAAATTGAACTTAAAAAATAAATTTTAAATGCATTATAGTTTTACACTGCATTTCTTCTTCTTCTTACCAAAGGTTTGAATTTTCAAAACACCTATAAAGAAATGCAATGCACTCCTTTAATTGAACTTAAAAAATAAATTTTAAATGCATTATAATTTTACACTGCATTTATCTTTCTTCTTACCAAAGGCTTGAATTTTCAAAACTCCTATAAAGAAATGCAATGCACTCCTTCTGTCATCAGCCAAACGCTACTAAAAAATAACTTCATAAACCAACAAAGATCTTCACCCATGGCAACCAACAGGGTGTCATTTAAGGTTTCCCAAGTGCATGCAATCTAATTAAATCAGAAGCGACCGAATAGAAAGAACAAGAATCAAGTTTAGACATATGGGAACTGAAAAGTTAAAATTCAACAGCACAATATAAACATGCAAACACGCTCTCGAGTTTATTTCAAAAAGTTAGCACAAAAACAAGACAACACTCAAAAAGTTTGTTTTAACACTTAAACAACGATGTTCCATCTGATTTTCATAGTCTCTTCAGAATTCAGCTTACTTTTGGAGTTAATGGCTGTCCTTTACTTCTTAGTCCTTTTGGGAGCAGACCTACACAGAAAGTAGCACATAATATGTTTGAATGCTTTCGCATGACTTGTAAGAGAGTAATATAAAAATGGATTAAGGAGATTTACTCTGCGGGTTGGGGTGGTGGTGCTGCTGCAGCAGGTGCTTTTGCTTTCTCTCCAGGGCCCTGTTTTAATTGAAGAAATAGATGAGAAAATATAGCAATGTAAAGCCTTGAGTTTAGTTCCCAAATATTAAACTATCAAAATATGTAGGAAAAGGAGCAAAATGAGACAGATAAATAGGGTAAATTTAGTTAATTTAACCCGGGAAAATCCTAAGTGTAAAAGCCCGATTATTATTTTTTTTTTTAAAGCAAACATTTCTAGCATGAAACAAACAAAAGAGGCAAGATGTGCCACATTAGAAGTAAGCGTGAATAGGGTAAATCAGGAGAAATTCCGGTGTAAAGTTCCAATATTCTATATAATTGGCTTGTTTATTTCCAGCGTTAAGGGAAAAAACGCTCAAGTGTAATGATAGAAAAAAAAAAAAAAGAAGCAAGCAGCACAAAAAATAACTTCTAGGATTTATATGATTATGTTGTCCATGTCCGAGGTAGAAGACAGCAGATTCTATCCACTAAACATAGAAGCTACAACAGGCGTGCAATACAAGGATTCTCATCAGTCCTTCCAAAAACCCAAGTACGCCAGCCTCTCATTAAAAAAAAAGTAATATTTATATACATACCACTCAATTTTTATGTATTTACATATCAAACACCTTTTCAATGCATGGAAAGGTTCATCAACTTTTGAAATGTTAAAATGTGGTATTTTTAGTGTGATGACAGATTTGGGTGGCATAAATGTAAAAAAGCAAACTTTCAAAAAAACAAAAAAAAATGTAAAAAAATGTAGTTTATATGTTAGATATGTAAATACACATGAATTGGGTTGTAAAATAAACAAGGATGTTCTTGAATGAGATAACTATGGAACAAGCAAAATTGCATTGCGGTTCTTAAATGAGATAGTTATGGAACAAGCAAGACTATGGCATAAAATCTTGAAGGATATGCCTGCAACAAAAACAAACAAGCGGTGAAAAGAAAGAAAGAGCCGACTATAGTGAAGAAAATTTACGTCAAAAGTTAAGAGGGGGCAGTTATTGTGCAAGCAAGGTTCAAGTGTCAATATTGAAGGAAAATACCACGATACAGCAAAATTATGGTGCATGTCCAAATAAGGTGATGACTACAGCACAAATGGGGTTGCAATGTAGGTCTTGCACGAGACAATAATAGCAAAAGCAAGGTTGCATTGAGATCTTGAAGTCAATGAATGCGATACAAATGTGGTAATGATGAAGCTCTTAAAACAAAATTGTTTGAAATTTTTTTCCCAAGGAACAAGGCACCTTCAGACTCAAAAATCTTCCTTTGTTTAATCCTTTACAATAGGTTAAGTGGAAAGATATCCCGTTACATTGAAATTCTAAGCAAGGGGCACTAAAGCCCTACATGCCGTCAATTGTTGAACATCATCGATGGTCAACAAAGGAGGAAATATTTCTCACAAATGGTGTCTAGCTATTGCATGAAAGTTGTGGTCAAGTCAATAAAGTGACTAACCTCAATCACGATGCAACTACCTACAACAGAACACAAAAAACTAGTCAAAATATAAATGGAAGTTAAACATCAAATTTTTCTTTCAAAAACCCTTTTGAGGGAAAAGATGCAAAGACTGGCCAGATTAAGCAACGTCTACTGTTAGAAGTAAATTAATACAATGGTGCTCAGCATCCCACTATTTAGAGGAACTTGGCGATTAGAGAACATAAATTTGGGAGCGACGAGGCAGATTCCTATGTGAATTAGCTATAAACATTTCAGATGAATGTGATGGTAGGGGCAACGAAGTGATCCGAGGTGGCCATTGTACAAAATGGTTAAATACAATTATAGTTCAGGTATGTTAGAGATGACCATGGCAGTCTCAGTAGAAATGGCTGCAATGTAGGCCTCAAGATAAGAATGATATGGTAATGGTCTTGAAGACAATTACAACGAATGTGAGGCTGTGGTGCAAATTCTTAGATGGTCATAACTCCAGCACAAGCAAGATTGTGGCATAGGTTTCAGCGTAATAGCTGCGATGCAATTAAGGTTGTAGCACAAATATTATAGATAGTTGCAACTAAGTGAGTATATAAAGTTCAAATGTGATGATAATTACAATGCAAGCAGGATTATTGTATAGATCTTCAAAGAGATGATTGCCGCAATTCTGGATATGACAATAATTTCAATGTAAGCGTGGTTATACAGTAAGGTAGATAGCTCCAACACAAGCCAAGTTTTGACGTACATCATAAAGTATACTATTGTGGTACAAGTTGGGTTCAACTTTGATACAACGGCAACTAGGCCCAATAAAGGTCATGGCACCAAGCAAATTTATGACATGGGTCTCGAATAATACAACAATGATGAAAGTAATATTTTAGAGCAAATCTTCAAGAAAATAGCTTATGGTACAAGTCTGGATACAATGATGCCAATGCGCAAGGAGATTCTTCTATAAGATTTAAAGGAGATTAATAAATTCAAGCAGGTTTGCAGCACATACCTAGAAAAAGAAAATTACAACCCAACAAAAATTTGTGATACTAGTCATGAAAGAATTGGCAGCAACGCAAGCTTGGATTCTACAATGCAAATAGGTTTACAGGTTTTAAAAGAGACAAATATGGTGCAAATGAGATTCCAGTTCCTTTATTCTTAGGATTTAACTAGGTGTTGCTTGATATCGTCAATTGTGTTTCAATATTTCCGATAGTTGTAGCCTAATTTTGTAACTTTCTTCTCATTTGCAACACCATATCTTCCAAAGATAACTTTCTTTTTCCCTTAAATTGATTTTGAGGTAAATCCAAGGGGACAGTTAGTTCTCGGGTTTGAACTATTACTAGTTTAATTGTTTCAATTGCCTAGCTGCTTTTGTTGGTTATTAAACCAATTATTTTGCCCTACATTTTGTTGATTGTTCCAATTAAAATTAGGGTGGTTTCTCCAACTAGAGTTTTAGGTGCTAGAGTATGGATTATTGGATCGGTTGTAAATTAAATTCAAAAGACTCCACATTAGAAATAATAGGGTGACCTATTACTACAAAGCAAGCAAAGTCATAACAAAGGTTTGGTTATGATGATCACCAAAACACAAGCATGGTGCATAGTAGGCCTCCAAGGAGACAATTATAATGCAAAGTGAGGTTGCAGCATAGTTCTTAAAGAGGCTGGGTACGGTGCATGCAAGGTTGTGATGTGAGATAATGTGACAATAATAATACAAGTTTGTGATAGAGGCTTTTTAAGGGAAAAAAGCTACAGTGTAAGGGATATTGTGGTGTCGATCTCAAGGAGAGAGTGTGGAGTAAGCCAGACTATGTTGGTGGATTTAAAGAAGACGACAACAATGAAAGTGAGATTGCATTGCAAATGTAAAAGGAGGCGACAATAATAATAGCAAGATTAAGATATAAGTCTTAAAGAAGATGACTATATTGAATGTAAAATGGTGGGGTGAGTATTGAAGAAGACAACTACAATGCAAACAAGGTTTTACAATGTATTTCTTAAGGGAGACGATAGCAATGAAAGCGAGTTTGTGTCACGGGTCTTGAAGATGGACGTGTCATAGGCAAGTTTTTAGTACAATTCAATAGCAACAAGCCTTTATCCCACTATGAGGGGTCGTCTGCATGAATCTTTTTTATCCATCGTGTCCTATTAAGAGTCATATTTTTAATTAATTATAATAAAATAATATCATTTTTCTACAATATGCTTAAGTTTTTTTAGATTTACCTCTGCCTTTTTTTAATAGCAGTTAAATCTAAAACATCTACTCTCCTAACCGTATCATCTGACGACACGTTTAATGTGACCAAACCATCTAAGACGATTCTCTAATCTTGTCTGTCATTTGAACTACATCAACACTACAACAACAACAACAACAACAAAGCCTTAATCCCACTACGTGGGGTCGGCTACATGAATCCTTTTTCTCCATTGCGTCCTATTTAGTGTCATATTTTCATTTAGTTCTAGTAAATTAAGATCATTTTTAATACAATAAGCCCAAGTCTTCCTAGGTCTACCTCTGTCTTTCTTAACACAAGTCAAATTTAAAACATCTACTCTCCTAATCGGATCATCTAATGGTCGACGTTTAATATGACCAAACCATCTAAGACGACTTTCTCTAATTTTGTCTGTCACAGGAGCTACACCAACCCTATCACGAATATATTCATTCCGCATTTTGTCTCTAAGTGTAAAGCCACTCATCCACCTAATCATTCTCATCTCGGCAACACTTAACTTATTATTATGCTTCTCTTTTAAAGGTGAACATTCAGCGCCATAGAGCATTGCAGGTCTCACCACCATCTTATAAAATTTTCCTTTCAGTCTTAGCGGTACTTTTCTATCACACAAAAAACCCGAAGCATTCCTTCACTTCAACCAACCAACTTGAATTCTACTATTAACATCCCCATCTATATC